AACCGCTCTACACCAGCCTACTCCACCCAACCACTCTACTCGAGCCTACTCCACCCAACCCCTCTACCACTACTCCACTACAACGAGCCTACTACCAGCCCTCCACCACAACACACCTACACCAGCCTACTCCTACTCCAGCCTACTCCACCCAACCACTCTACTCTAGCCTCCCACCACAACACCCACACCAGCCTAACAACCTCCACTCTACACCAGCCTACTCCACTCCAACCCACTCTACTCCAGCCTCTACTCCATCCAACGACTCTACACCAGCCTACTCCACCACAACCCACTCTACACCAGCCTACTCCACCACAACCCACTCTACACCAGCCTACTCCACCCAACCACTCTACTCCAGCCTACTCCACAACTACACTCACTACACCAGCCTACTCCACCCCACAACACACTCTACACCAGCCTACTCCACCCAACGACTCTACACCAGCCTACTCCACCACAACCATTCTACACCAGCTGCTCCACCCACAACCACTCTACACCAGCCTACTCCACCACAACCCACTCTACTCCAGCCTGATCCTACTCCAGCCTACTCCAGCCTACTACAACCACAACACACTCCACCAGCCCACTCCACCACAACACAGCTCTACTCCAGCAGCACAACACACTCTACTCCAGCCTACTCCACCACAACCCGCTCTCCTACCAGCCTACTCTACCCCAACCATTCTACTCCAGCCTGCTCCACAACAACCCACTCTACACCAGCCTACTCCACAACAACCCACTCTGCTCCAGCCTACTCCCAACCACTCTACTCCAGCCTACTCCACCACAACCGCTCTACACCAGCCTACTCCACCACAACCCGCTCTCTACCAGCCTACTCCAGCACAACCACTCTTCTCCAGCCTACTCCACTCCAACCACTCTACACCTACCCACAACCTCCCTCTCTCCACCACAACCCACTCTACTCCAGCCTACTCCACCACAGCTCCAGCCCAGCCTCCACTCCACTCCAACCACTCTACACCAGCCTACTCCACCCAACCCACTCTACTCCAGCCTACTCCACCACAACCCACTCTACTCCAGCCTACTCCACTCCACCCCTCTACTCCAGCCTACTCCACTCCAACCCACTCTACTCCAACCTACTCCACCACAACCCTCTCTACACCAGCCTACTCCACCCCACCCACTCTACACCAGCCTACTCCATCCCAACCCACTCTACACCAGCCTACTCCACTCCAACCACTCTACACGAGCCTACTCCATCCCAACCCACTCTACTCCAGCCTACTCCACCTCAACCCTATTTGGTTTTTTACAACAAACCAGAGGACAATGAGTCCCTCCAAATTGTCCCGAGCTAAAACATTCAACCATGTATCATCGCTCATCCCAGAAGCTATACCGCTGTTAAAAGACCAAATTACAGTATTTCAATCTTTTTAGTGTGGCGGTATTTCAATGGACCAGAATTCTCTTTATTACATACATCAGTGTTGAATTTTATGATTTAATTGCATTGTGAAATTTCCACTGAGAGTATAAATCCAACTGTTCGGAATCAGTGTCACGCTGACAAAATGATGACGCGTGAACTGCTGATACAACCATGAAGTACAAGGGTAGACGACGACAGTGACTGGAACTATTTCACCATGGAGTACAGGCGACGACAGTGACTAAAACAGTTTCACCATGAACACGGGAAGACGACGGCAGTGACTGGAACGGTTTCACCATGGAGTACACGGGAAGACGACGTTAGTGACTGGAACGGTTTCACCATGGAGTACACGGGTAGACGACGGCAGTGACTGGAACAGTTTCACTGTGGAGTACATGGGTAGTAGACGGCAGTGACTGGAACGGTTTCACCATGGAGTACAAGGGTAGACGACGGCAGTGACTGGAACGGTTTCACCATGGAGTACATGGGGTAGACGACGGCAGTGACTGGAACGGTTTCACCAAGGAGTACACGGGTAGACGACGGCGGTGACTGAAACGATTTCACCATGGAGTACAGGCGACGACAGTGACTAAAACAGTTTCACCATGAAGTACACGGCATCGGTTTCACCATGAAGTACACGGCAGTGACGGCAGTGACTAAAACAGTTTCACCATGAAGTACACGGGAAGACGACGGCAGTGACTGAAACAGTTTCACCATGAAGTACACGGGAAGACGACGGCAGTGACTGAAACAGTTTCACCATGGAGTACACGGGAAGACGACGGCAGTGACTGAAACAGTTTCACCATGAAGTACACGGGAAGACGACGGCAGTGACTGAAACAGTTTCACCATGAAGTACACGGGTAGACGACGGCAGTGACTGAAGCGGTTTCACTATGGAGTACACGGGTAGACGACGGCAGTGACTGAAGCGGTTTCACTATGGAGTACAGGCGACGACTGTGACTGAAACAGTTTCACCACAGCAGGTACACCTGGTTTAATGCAGCTAAATTCTGAGTCTGTTCTGTAAGACGATTTGTCCAGTCGACTTCACTCACTCTTGGGTATTAAAGGCCACGATGCAGGGAGTGAGGTAGGTGTAACGCAGCCTGGAACAGTATCGCAGTTACATGACGGCTGGTCAGGTTCATGTGGGAGGAAGACCCGGAGTTCTGGGGGAACCTACGAGGACGGGTATGGTGCAGACAAACCTAGAAACGTAATTAGAGCGAACCGGGATTCGAACCTTTGGTTTCTGTTGCTTGCCTTCAGTCACTTCACTAGCAGACATGCATGCTTTGACTGGCACTGAACCGAGATTCGAACCTTTGGTTTCTGTTGTTAGCACTTCACTCACTTCAGCAGGAGACATGCATGCCTTGACTGACACTGAGACGAGATTCGAACCTTTGGTTTCTGTTGCTAGCCTTCAGTCACTTCACCAGCAGACATGCATGCCTTGACTGACACTGAGCCGAGATTCGAACCTTTGGTTTCTGTTGTTAGCACTTCACTCACTTCACCAGCAGACATGCATGCCTTGACTGACACTGAGACGAGATTCGAACCTTTGGTTTCTGTTGCTAGCACTTCAGTCACTTCACCAGCAGACATGCATGCCTTGACTGACACTGAGCCGAGATTCGAACCTTTGGTTTCTGTTGTTAGCACTTCAGTCACTTCACCAGCAGACATGCATGCCTTGACTGACACTGAGCCGAGATTCGAACCTTTGGTTTCTGTTGCTAGCACTTCAGTCACTTCACCAGCAGACATGCATGCCTTGACTGACACTGAGCCGAGATTCGAACCTTTGGTTTCTGTTGCTAGCACTTCAGACACTTCACCAGCAGACATGCATGCCTTGACTGACACTGAGCCGAGATTCGAACCTTTGGTTTCTGTTGCTAGCACTTCAGTCACTTCACCAGCAGACATGCATGCCTTGACTGACACTGAACCGAGATTCGAACCTTTGGTTTCTGTTGCTAGCACTTCAGTCACTTCACCAGCAGACATGCATGCCTTGACTGACACTGAGCCGAGATTCGAACCTTTGGTTTCTGTTGCTAGCACTTCAGTCACTTCACCAGCAGACATGCATGCCTTGACTGACACTGAGCCGAGATTCGAACCTTTGGTTTCTGTTGCTAGCACTTCAGTCACTTCACCAGCAGACATGCATGCCTTGACTGACACTGAGCCGAGATTCGAACCTTTGGTTTCTGTTGCTAGCACTTCAGTCACTTCACCAGCAGACATGCATGCCTTGACTGACACTGAGCCGAGATTCGAACCTTTGGTTTCTGTTGCTAGCACTTCAGTCACTTCACCAGCAGACATGCATGTCTTGACTGACACTGAGCCGAGATTCGAACCTTTGGTTTCTGTTGCTAGCACTTCAGTCACTTCACCAGCAGACATGCATGCCTTGACTGACACTGAGCCGAGATTCGAACCTTTGGTTTCTGTTGCTAGCACAGTCACTTCACCAGCAGACATGCATGCCTTGACTGACACTGAGCCGAGATTCGAACCTTTGGTTTCTGTTGCTAGCACTTCAGTCACTTCACCAGCAGACATGCATGTCTTGACTGACACTGAGCCGAGATTCGAACCTTTGGTTTCTGTTGTTAGCACTTCAGTCACTTCACCAGCAGACATGCATGTCTTGACTGACACTGAGCCGAGATTCGAACCTTTGGGTTCTGTTGCTAGCACTTCAGTCACTTCACCAGCAGACATGCATGCCTTGACTGACACTGAGCCGAGATTCGAACCTTTGGTTTCTGTTGCTAGCACTTCAGTCACTTCACCAGCAGACATGCATGCCTTGACTGACACTGAGCCGAGATTCGAACCTTTGGTTTCTGTTGCTAGCACTTCAGTCACTTCACCAGCAGACATGCATGTCTTGACTGACACTGAGCCGAGATTCGAACCTTTGGTTTCTGTTGCTAGCACTTCAGTCACTTCACCAGCAGACATGCATGTCTTGACTGACACTGAGCCGAGATTCGAACCTTTGGTTTCTGTTGCTAGCACTTCAGTCACTTCACCAGCAGACATGCATGCCTTGACTGACACTGAGCCGAGATTCGAACCTTTGGTTTCTGCTGCTAGCACATCAGTCACTTCACCAGCAGACATGCATGCCTTGACTGACACTGAGCTGAGATTCGAACCTTTGGTTTCTGTTGCTAGCACTTCAGTCACTTCACCAGCAGACATGCATGCCTTGACTGACACTGAGCCGAGATTCGAACCTTTGGTTTCTGTTGCTAGCACTTCAGTCACTTCACCAGCAGACATGCATGCCTTGACTGACACTGAGCCGAGATTCGAACCTTTGGTTTCTGTTGCTAGCACTTCAGTCACTTCACCAGCAGACATGCATGCCTTGACTGACACTGAGCCGAGATTCGAACCAAAAATCTTACTGTTGACCAGGGTCTACATCGAATTGAAATGAACGACTGGAGAACCCTTTTGCCCCGTAACCTATGAAGATATAGAAGCGACATTTGGATGATCCGGGGTCACTATGTCGGTCAAGTCTGATTGTGTTGGTTGGTACCACAACGGCGTATCTTCGCTGATGTTGTCGGCCACATACATGTAGAACCCTTGCTCTGTGAGCGCACATGAGGTGGGATGACATTGGGTAAACATTACGATATTATTGCACATACACAGCGACGTGCATGCACGTGTGTGTGCGGATGAGCGTACTGGTGTTCCTCCTCAACACGATATGTTACACTACACCTACTTGGCTGGCGAAACAAGCAGCATCTTACACACACAGCAAAAACCAACAGTAGACATAGACAGAAATAGGCTCTTTTTAGAAATGTCTTAACAACCGATGTGATTCCAGATACGCTGTTAAATTATCATTAACAGAAATACACACACAACACAACAACAAAACAAAACGAACATACATGCGTACATACACAAATACACGTACATACACGAACACATGTACACATACACATACTAACGAGATCGGATGGTCAGGTTCGCTGACTTGGTTGACACATGTAATCGGTTCCCAATTGCGCAGGTCGATGCTCATACTGTTGCTTTACAGACCGTCGTCATATAGCTGGAATATTGCTCAGTGAGGAGTAAAAATAAACTCACTCAATCACTCACATATACATACATAAACGAATGTACGAAAAAACACACAGATACACGTACATACACGAAGACACACATAACCACACATACACGTACATACACGAACACACACATAACCACACATACACGTACATACACATAACCGCACATACACGTACATAGACGAACACACACACATAACCACACATACACGTATATACACGAACACACACACATAACCACACATACACGTACATACACATAACCACACACACATATCCACACATACACGTATATACACGAACACACACATAACCACACATACACGTACATACACGAACACACACACATAACCACACATACACGTACATACACGAACACACACACATAACCACACATACACGTACATACACGAACACACACACATAACACACATATACACATACATACACGAACACACACACATAACCACACATACACATACACATATATACACGAACACACACACATAACCACACATAACCACACATACACGTACATACACGAACACACACACATAACCACACATACACGTACATACACGAACACACACACATAACCACAGAAGGTTTCACTATACATTAAATTCCATCTTGAAGAAAAATAATCCACACAAATAGTGTCACGCATTCAAAACAAACGATTCACACACAAGCTGTAAATGAGGCTCTGACCTATCCTTGAAGAATTAGCTTATCTTTGTTCATCTTAAACTGATACTTCTCCTAAGATGCGCAGCCGCGGGATATTTAAACACAATACATCAGCCGTCTTAATCCCAAATCAGCACTTCCTGTTACCCCGGGATGAATGTTTCGTATTCACCGCGGGACAGCCGGAAGTTGTTGCCATGACCGCAATGTGATTTGCCTTTTCACTTTGGACTGAGCACTGCAATTGCCCCTAGTTCCCCGTCATCTCTTCTCCTTCACCAATCCCATTACCAACCCTTTAAACTAGTTTAGTAAATCACGATAAAGATGTTATCTCTGATATTTATCAGTGTGAACGGTTGCTGTTTAGGAATTCCCAAGTACACTCACTTGCTACTGAATTAGGATATGTATCATACATCTTGTTAGATCTCACACCAGCTGGGACATCCTTTAAAACTAGTTTAGTAAATCACGATAAAGATGTTATCTCTGATATTTATCAGTGTGAACGGTTGCTGTTTAGGAATTCCCAAGTACACTCACTTGCTACTGAATTAGGATATGTATCATACATCTTGTTAGATCTCACACCAGCTGGGACATAGCACTCCCTGTTTATGTCCTACTTACCCCAAGTACTCCGCCATTTACTCACTCACTCACCCAACCCACACACCCAACCCACACGCCCAAACCCCAACACCATCCACCGCTCGCTCACTAACTCACTCACTCATAAACCCGCCCACCTACCCACTCACTCAATAAATCCACCAAAATCGCACCACTCGAGTCACACCATTCAACCGAGCTCACCCACTACATTCATACTTCGATGTTGTTGGAGGTCCGTTTCCCTCGAACGACTGGAACAAACTTGAAGCTAGAACTAGAAGGCACCATCCGTAGCCGCCAGCCTCCTAAACCAGGACATATATTGCTGGACAGTTCTGTCTATATCCTGAGCATGTGGTTATTAATCACCATCAAGCATTGTTAAAACCAGGTGTTCGCAAAAGGAGAGCGAATCCTGCTCTATAGTTGGCATCGGTCACAAACGCATGCAAAGGCGAGTCAAAACCTTATCAAATACAACTTATGGGATTCCTTACCTCATGTCTAGCATTTCCTTGGATTGTGTCTGACCCGCATCAATGCTGCACCCATCTATGTGAACACCCTGTTAATAACTGACCCCGACCCCCAACAGCTCCACCCCCTCGCCCATCATGACCCCTTAACTGCCTGCAGAAACGTGGGACATTTAAACATATCTCTCTAATACCCACCTGCCTCTTCCTTAATTCCCAACATTAATATTTCAAACATATCACACACACTATAACCTTCTGTAAATACTCCTATACCCTCTCCCCACCCTCTCTCCACACCCCTCTCCTACCACCCCCTCCCCAGCTCCTACCACACTCCAACCTCTCTCCACACCCTCCTACCACCCTCTCCAACCTCCCCCACACCTCTCCCAGCACTCTCTCCACCTTCCTACCACCCCTCTCCAACCTCCCCCCACACCCTCTCCACACCCTCCACCCCCTCTCCTCCCCTCCCCACCCTCTCCCAGCACACCTTCCTACCACCCCTCTCCAACCTCCCACACCCCTCTCCACACCCTCCTACCACCCCCTCTCCAACCCTCCCCACACCCTCTCTCCCCACCCTCTCCACCCTCCTACCACCCCTCCTCCCACTCCTCCCCACACCCTCCCTACCACCCCTCTCCACACCCTCCTACCACCCCCCTCTCCACCCTTCCTACCACCCTCTCCCACCCTCCTACCACACCTTCCTACCACCCCCTCTCCAACCCTCCCCACACCCTCCTCCTACCACCACCCCCTCTCCACCACCCTCCTACCACCCCTCTCCAACCTCCCCACACCCTCCCTCCTATCACCCCCCTCTCCCAGCACCCCCTCCCCACCCTCCTACAACCCCTCTCCACACCCTCCTACCTCCCTCTCCAAACCCTCCCCCCACACCCCTCTCCCAGCACCTCTCTCCACCCTCCTACCACCCCCTCTCAAATCTCCCCCACACCACCTCCCACCAACCCTTTTCCCAGCACCTCCCCCACCTCCTACCACCACCCCTCTCCCAGCACCTCCCCACACCCTCCTACCACCCCCTCTCCAACCTCCCCCACCCTCCCATCACCCCCCTCTCCCAGCACCTCCCCTCACACCCCCTACCACCCTTCTCCAAGCACCCCCCCCCCATCCTCCTCCTACCACCCCTCTCCAACCCTCCCCCACACCCTCCTACCACCCTTCTCCCAGCACTCCTCCCCACCCCTCCTCCTACCACCCCTCTCCAACCTCCCTCCCCACACCCAAGCGTTACCCTGCTCCACTTTACACGTATTCCCACTCCCAGTTAATCAGCCCGCCATGTACCGATGCCTATCTCTCGCCGTCTCTCGCCCGCTACACTCATCTAAGTTCTCCGGTGTCGTCCAATGGACGTTCTTATACCGGATCGGTTCCGCTTATGTTAGCCCAGCGGGCGAGTGTGGGTTCTCCTTCAAATGAGTTGCTTAGAAAATACCTCTCGGCGCAGCAAAGCCGCTGAGTCAAACACGGTAAAACCCACACTCAACGGGAGTCAATCGTTTTTGCATACTTTCGTATGCCTTTTATTATGTTGGAGCCGATACGATGTTTTGGCGGAGGTCGTGCGGGGCCGGCGCTGTTGCATACCGCTAAAAACCCCGCCGGGGCAACGTTGTGATCCATTTAGGCGACGTTAAATAACGACTGTTTATTATCAAATTTTGTGAACTCTTGCATGCCCGATTAGTTATCGGGGAACATATTTGCTTACATCGTAATGGATGTTTCTTTTTTCGGCATTAATGTAACAAAGTTTGAGATAAATGAATTAAATTTGGTTTATGATCGATAAAAATTGAAACTGATTCTTTCCGTTTAATTTGAGATGGTCATGCACCTTCATCCGGGCTACATTGGACACTGTGATCTCTATTGTTGATATGTAAATCGGGTTGTCTCTAATGTTTCACTCCTAATCATGATTCTTCTTGTGAAAACTATCTTGTTTTAGGTTTAACGCAGCTCTGGTGGTACAAACTTTACATTTTATGCTCTTTGGTATTTTTTCAGTCATACAGAGGCCTTTCTGTAAATAGCTGTTTTAATTTCCGTTTATAAAGTTTATAGACTAGTTGCCACTGTTTCTTCGAGAACGTATGCGTCATAGATATGTTGTATATTGTATCTTGTGTAGGAGTGGAGTTTAGACTAACGCTTAGTCTCTGAATATATAATTTTGAAAGTAACAAATAAACCCATTTAAATTGAAAAGGGGCACCAGTGAGCTGAGTGAATCTAGACTTGCTTCATTTAGAGCTTTAGCATTGCAGGGAGGACTATAGTCTGTCGTACCGACCTTGAAGCAAATATATCCAAGAAAGCCCACGCAAGTCTACAAAATGTGGCAAGTCTAGATTTCCTCAGCTTCAGGGTCTGAAAATGAAGAAAGTCTCAGGGCTTTTTTTCATTATATATATATTTTTTTCACTATGAACTTTTTTTCAGTAAAATATGTTCATTTCAGAGACTAGTTATTAGTCTAGGAGGGCTAGGCTTTAGGGTAAACAATGTGTGAGGCAGATTAAAGTGTGAGCTACGTTAGTGTACCCAGTTTATGATATCACAAGACACAAGTTTTTAAAAACGTTGAATACACTATCTGCACTTCACTACAAAATTCGGATCCCTTGACATTATGTGCTAAATAAATTAAAGATGCCCTCACTTTGCGTTCTCAATTATATTAATTCTAATTGTACATTATCTGTACTTTCTACCTTATTGATCAGCCACTTGGTGTATAATGCACGTATCCCTTCTGTATTTGGGTCCGTGGAGTTTATGCTGAAAGTAACTGAAGTCTCTACTTTCACTTAGTCAAATACGCAGCTCTCTGAACATATTAAAAATAATATTATTATTACATAACGACACGTTGGGCGAATACGTGAGCGAACGGCATCATTTTAAGACCAGTATGGTGAGTGAGTGAGTTTAGTTTTACGCGTATCACGGCGGGGGACACCAGAAATGGGCTTCACATATTGTACCCTTGTGGGGAATCGAACCCAGTTCTTCGGCGTGCGAGCGAACGCTTTAACCACTAGGCTACCCCATCGCCCCACAAGGCCTGTATTGGACAATAGTGTAAGACTGATTCGATCTGAATGAGTGAATGATGTGTAGCGCCGCACTTAACCACATTACGCCTAACTCTGGCATGGGTGATTTTCCTGGGGGTTGGGGGGGGTGGTGTGCTCAGCCGATCGTTTGATATTCTGGGGAAGAATGAGATGCTCAGAACTGTTTTTATCTTTTGCCGGAAAGGTTACATGCACACAAAGATATATCGTTCTTGGACATGTTGAATGGATGAAACATACCTGATCTTTTAATGTTAACCCATCTGTGATGTCATCTTTTTATGTACCATTTATTTAGAGTATTTTAATATTTTCCTTCCATTGTTGGTACGGGTCTCTCTCACTTCATCTCAAATCTTAAATAGACAAAATTGTTAACACTGCAAGTAAAATCGCTGGAGTCAGATTTGAATGTTTATCATCAATATATGAGCGGCAAACCGTGAATCAAGCTGTCAAAATCATATCTGACCGTACTCACTACTTAAATTCGGAATACAACCTCCTCCCTTCAGGCCGCCGCTACAAAGTTCCAATTGTGAAAACTAAGAGAGCCCGTACATCCTTTATTCCAAGTACCATATCTCTCTTCAACAAATGTGAAGATACCTAAATCAAAGAATTTATGTAAATATGTTTGGTACCTCTCTAATGTGTCAGTAGCTCTGCTGATGTAACACAAATTCCTGAAAAGGCATTAAAGTATTATTCTATTCTATTCTATTCTATTCTATTCAACAGAATAACATTGCAGAAAAGTAATCGAAACCTCCGCAAGCTTTCTATGAAAATGTCGATAACATAATTGGTGTAATAACAGTGTCTTTTCCCATGACAGTTGATTAAAATCTGAAATGCAATCCTGAAACTCAGATACAGTCCATTGTAATGTCTCAAATATGGAAACGATTACGAACAAGATCTTTGGGAAAATTGCCGAAAACGTGAGTTACAATTACAGGCAACGTCTACACCGCCCCGCTTTATGCGAACGCTTGCCCGGTATCACCAGCTCTACTTCGTCCTTCACTCGAAATGTACGGAGAATAATAGTGCTGCATGTTGCGCTGGATCGTGTGTTGGATCGTGTGTTGGATTGTGTGTTGGATTGTGTGTTGGATCGTGTGTTGGATCGTGTGTTGGATCGTGTGTTGGATCGTGTGTTGGATCGTGTGTTGGATTGTGTGTTGATTGTTGTGTGTTGATTGTGTGTTGGATTGTGTGTTGATTGTGTGTTGGATTGTGTGTTGGATTGTGTGTTGGATTGTGTGTTGGATCGTGTGTTGGATCGTGTGTTGGATCGTGTGTTGGATTGTGTGTTGGATTGTGTGTTGATTGTGTGTTGGATTGTGTGTTGGATTGTGTTGGATTGTGTGTTGGATTGTGTGTTGGATGTGTGTTGGATCATGTGTTGATTGTGTTGGATTGTGTGTTGGATTGTGTGTTGGATTGTGTGTTGGATTGTGTGTTGGATTGTGTGTTGGATTGTGTGTTGGATTGTGTGTTGGATTGTGTGTTGGATTGTGTGTTGGATTGTGTGTTGGATTGTGTGTTGGATTGTGTGTTGGATTGTGTGTTGGATTGTGTGCTGGATTGTGTGTTGGGTTGTGTCAGGTTGTTTGTTTTATTGTCTGTTGGATTTTTTGGTTTTCTGTTGGATTGTGCATCAGATTGTCTCTTGAACCACACGTTGAAATTTGTGTCGGATTGTATGAGATTGTCATGTTGATTGTGTGTCAGATTGTCAGTTTGAGTTTCTGTTGAATTTGGTGTCAGATTGTCTTTTACTGTTGGACTATGCGTCAGATAGTCTGTTTGATTGTCTGTCAGATTGTCTGTTGGAGTTTCCGTTGGACTATGTATCAGATTGAACCGCATGTTAGATTTTGTGTCAGGTTGTCATTTTGATTGTCAGATTATCTGTTGGGTTTACTGTTGAATTTTGTGCCAGATTGTCTGGTGGAGTTTCTGTTGGACTATGTGTCAGATAGTCTTTTTGATTGTCTGTCAGATTGTCTGTTGGAGTTTTCTGTTGGACTATGTATCAGATTGTCTGTAAGATTGTCTGTAAGATTGTCTGTTGAGGTTCCTGTTGGATTATGAGTCAGATAGACTTTTTGATTGTCTCTAAGATTGTCTGTTTCGTTTTCTGCAGGACCATGTATCAGATTGTCTGTCAGGCTGTCAGTTAGGGTTTCTGTCCTACTCTGTATCAGATTGTCTCATGAACCGCGTGTTGAATTTTCCGTCAGTTTGTACTTTTGATTTTCCGTTGAACTGAATACAGCGTCCGCTCATCATCCCGAAGTTCCGGGGGAGGGGGATTGTGTGCTGATGGGTATGTTTAGTCACACACAAACCCTTTTCAACAGAGCATCAATTTTACACGTTTATTTTGCCAAGTACAGTACAACATTTCTATATTATTCATCTCTTGTCAATGTCCTTTTAACATTAACGATCACATATCAGTATGACATAAGTCATTTCACTCCTTGACATAAATCACGTTGTGTATTAACAAGAAGGAGTATCCATTTCATCGAGTGTTTATCATATCCCGTATCGCAGACAGAAGAAACTTTTAAAGTACAACATAAGTAACCTTGTCGCTATATTTTCTGGTACAGAGACAAAGAACGGAGATGCTTTAGGTTGGCAACCACTGTGTTTTGTCGCGGCACATCGTCACGCATACACACGCTACAACAACAAGAAAACATAAATACCATTCTAAATCAAATACAAAAACAAGCTTCCAGGTATAATTCTTTTTCCTTTTCAGCCATATTTGAAACTGCACATCTGGAAAATACTTTCTGCAACGTCTAAAAAATATTTTCCCTTTCATCAAAGACTATTTTATTGTCTCCAGTAACAGGAACATAAAAGTCATAACCCACAAACTGTTGCCATGGTGACGCGAAGGTGCTCATCTTTGCTCTTAAAAATCTGGACGGGCGAATGAAGAGCTCAAAGAAGACGTGTCATTACTTGCTTGAATCATAAACCAGAAATACACGCCAGCATTTCACTGATTTATCAGCTTAACGACATTGAAGTCATGATTGCTCTGTCAATAAAACGACACACCCGTCAGAGTACAGGAATAACCAACAACTGCAAAAACTCTGGTTCTTTGACATTTAAGTGCACGGACCCACAGATCCTTGAAACATCCTGTTACCAAATCACAAAGATCAACGGGTATACCACAGCCAAAGGCGATGCTCGTCGCCCAAAGGTCACGTGATAGCTTTGGTCATGTGACCTCGGTCAATGCTGTGCTTTGAAGTTGCCGCTTTAAAACTTGGCTCGGAAAGCTGTCGCGCAAATGTAATCAAAACGCCATATCATTCCCCAATAAGAGGATTTG